ATCATTTATATAATATGTTAAAATTTTATTTAAAATTTTTGTTTGGGAAGTTAAAGAATCAAACTAATCTATTATTCGAAGATAAAATGAGTATTGTAAGGTAAGTAGGCAAGCAAGCAAGCTCTACAAATATTTGGTGATCCGGAATCTCTTTGTCATCAAGTCTCTTCCATCCATTTTGGCTGTAGATTGGGGAAAGCTCCTTGTATCAGAGATTTATCACCGCCTTCATGTCCTCAACAAGTCAACAAGTAAGCTTCCATATATTGGTCACAAAATACTTCCTTCATATTTATTTATATATTATATGTAATATATCATAAGTTTATTTGTCTGAATTGCTTCATTGATTTAACCTCTTCCGAACTTTGAATTTCTGGTTAAATTAGTTTTTTTTTTCATTTATTTTTCTCCATCGGAAAGCTTAACTCAACATTTTATCCTTTGGCATCCATAATATGTATCTCCTTGCCGATCAATTAAGTTTCTATATTTCATATTAGGAGATGGCGCAAATGAATAACACTGTCCAGGTTCGTATAGATGGCCAGGATTCCGAACCTTCTTCATGGCCTAGAATTTTTCGAGTGCCTCATTATTTACGAAAGATAAATGAAGAAGCCTATGATCCTAAAATCATTTCTATTGGTCCTTATCATCGTCAAAAAGATCATTTAAAAGAAATGGAAACACTCAAGGTGCGTTTTCTAAACGATCTTCTTCGACGAAGAGATGAGAATGGTGCTGAAAGATACGCGGAGGTCATGACAGGTATGATGAAAAGGGCTCGTAACTGCTATGCGGAATCTTTGGTTATTTCCAATGAAGAATTTTTAGAAATGATGGTTCTTGATGGATGTTTTATTGTCGAGCTAATTCACAAATTTGATGACGGTAGTTATCAGACTGATCCTATCTTAAATGTGCCTCAGATTACCAAAAACATTTTGAAAGATTTGGCACTAGTTGAGAATCAACTTCCCTTTTTTGTACTATGGGAGTTGTTTGGCGAGATGACTGAAGATCCAAGCCCATACATTTTTATTATTTTAAAGATGTTTGAAAGAGTAATGCCAGGGCTCAGGATTTCTGAAACCTATGATGAAAACTCAATGAAAAACCTAAAGCATCTAATAGATTTACTTCGCACCAATTGGCTTCCTTCAGAAGATTCAATGCGTGAATACCAGAAAGTGCAAGAAGATGGTGGGTGGTCTTTCATTCGTTCTGCTACAGAACTTAGAGAGGCAGGAATCAAGTTCAAAAGGAGTAACAGATGCAACTTGTTTGATTTAAAGTTCGAAAAAGGGACACTTTACATTCCAGCTTTGAACATTGAAGATGATACAGAGAGATTGTTTCGTAATATCATTGCCTGTGAACAGTTTGACCACCGGGGATCTCCAATTTACTTATCTCAATATAGAAAAGTCGTAGATTGTCTCATCAATACGGGGAAGGATGTGGAGTTACTTTGTCACAAAGGGATAATTATGAACTGGTTAGGCACTGACGAAGAAGTTGCTGAGATGATTAATAGGCTTGGAACTGAAGTTCTTATCAGCAGCAAGCACTTCTTTTACGCCAAGTTATTTAATGACGTTAACAATCATTACAATAGACCTTGGAACAGAAGGATAGCAAGCTTAAGGCACAATTATTTCAACACTCCTTGGACATTGATCTCCTTTCTTGCTGCAGCTTTCTTGCTTCTACTTGCTCTGCTGCAAACAACATTCACAATTTTCCCTGTCTTGAAAGTGCCAGAAACCATTTTTATGGAGGGAACGACGTGGATCAGCAGATAGCATCGAGGTGTGTGAGAAGTGCAAACTGTTCAAGTGATGCATCTGTAGACTAGT